TATCCTGGAATGAGATGTGCATCATGCATAAAAATGTTTGTATCCTGGAATGAGATGTGCATCATGCATAAAAATGTCTGTATCCTGGAATGAGATGTGCATCATACAGAAATATGTCTGTATTCTGGAATGAGATGTGCATCATGTAGAAGAATGCCCATATCCTAGAATAAGGTGTGCAACATGTAGAAAAATGTCTGTATCCTAGAATGAGAAGTGCATCGTGTAGAAGAATGTCTGCATTCTGGAATAAGATGTGCACCATGTAGAAGAATGCCCATATCCTATAATAAGGTGTGCATCATGTAGAAAAATGTCTGTATCTTAGAATGAGAAGTGCATCATACAGAAAAATGTCTGTATCCTAAAATGAGATGTGCATCATACAGAAAATTGTCTGTATCCTACAATGAGATGTGCATCATACAGAAAAATGTCTGTATCCTACAATGAGATGTGCATCATACAGAAAAATGTCTGTATCCTGGAATGAGATGTGCATCATACAGAAAAATGTCTGCATCCTGGAATGAGATGTGCATCATACAGAAAAATGTCTGTATCCTGGAATGAGATGTGCATCATACAGAAGAATGTCTGCATCCTGGAATGAGATGTGCATCATACAGAAAAATGTCTGTATCCATTTTTCTGTATGATGCACATCTCATTCCAGGATACAGACATTTTTCTGTATGATGCACATCTCATTCCATACATGTATATGTTAGACTAACATCTGTTACGTGTAATCGTGTTTTTTGTGCTTGTTTCTGTTAGTCACATAGTCTAACATGTCATCATATGCTGCATGTTTATTATGGTAAGTGAAATGTTGAAACATACTGTCTGTTTCCATTGCAGCATTTTTATACACTGCTCAACAATTTTCATGTAACTACTTTAGGTAACTGCACAGCCTTTAGATGATATTTCTTCTAATAGCTATATTACATAATGATTTCAACAAAGGGAAAAATGTAAACCATTTTATAAAAATCGAGGCAGTTCTCCATCATGAGTTTAAAATTAAGGTGGGGTATTTGAACAGAATTCTCACTTTTGCTCCATTTAAATATTTTAAATTAGTTTTACACCAACTTCAATATTGGTAAAAAACAAGCTCATTCATGTGAGATAAGGTACTCTTAAACCACAGAGAAATAAATCATTAACTTAAATGGTTTTAAAAACAATAGTTCTTCTGTTATATCTTCAATCTTCTTTCAGCTCCTTTCCTTCTCATGCGATATTTACCAATTCAAGGAGTTCTCCAGCCATCCTTCTATAGACCAGTACCAGCTGACTCCAACTCTCGTATCCCTGTTTACAGCTGGGTAAAACACTTTCTTTGTCTGCTCTCCTAGAATAGATGACATCCTCAAATAAAAAGTAACCCCATGCTGTAAAACCTAAACTGCTGGATAAAAGTGTGACTTTTCTTCATCTATCTTACCTTTCGATCTCAAAATTTCTCATCTCATCTAAGATACAATAATTTTTCCCCTGCATGACACACATTTCACCCTAGGATACAGGCATTCTTTTGCATGATACACGCCTTATTCTAGGATATGGACATTCTTCTACACGATGCACTTCTCATTCTAGGATAAAGACATTTTTCTACATGATGAACACCTTATTCTAGGATATGGGCATTCTTCTACATGGTGCACATCTCATTCCAGGATGCAGACCCATATATTAACTAAACAAACAGATGTGGGAACTTGATCACACATTACATTATTTGACTAACAGAAACAAGCACAATATGTCAACTTTACACAAAAAACACGATTACACGTAACAGATGTTAGTCTAACATATACATGTACGATATATTAACTAAACAAACAGATGTGGGTACTTGATTACACATTACATTATTTGACTAACAGAAACAAGTACAATGTGTCAATTCTACACAAAAACATGGAGAACATGATTATACATATAGACATTAAATTATTAGTCTAACATAAATATGTACCACATGTTAACTACACAAAAAACATGGAGAACATGATTACACATACAGACATTAAATTATTAGTCTTGTAGTTAACATATGGTACATATTTATGTTTAATCATGTTCTCCATGTTTTTTGTGTAGAGTTGACATATTGTGCTTGTTTTTGTTAGTCAAATAACGTTTGTGTAGTTAACATATGGTACATATTTATGTTAGACTAATAATTTAATGTCTGTATGTGTAATCATGTTCTCCATGTTTTTGTGTAGAGTTGACATATTGTGCTTGTTTCTGTTAGTCAAATAACGTTTGCCATATACAGACATTAAATTATTAGTCTAACATAAATATGTACCACATGTTAACTACACAAAAACATGGAGAACATGATTATACATATAGACATTAAATTATTAGTCTAACATAAATATGTACCATATGTTAACTACACAAACGTTATTTGACTAACAGAAACAAGCACAATATGTCAACTCTACACAAAAAACATGGAGAACATGATTACACATACAGACATTAGATTATTAGTCTAACATAAATATGTACCATATGTTAACTACACAAACGTTATTTGACTAACAGAAACAAGCACAATATGTCAACTCTACACAAAAAACATGGAGAACATGATTACACATACAGAC